TTTTGATTGACGTAAAGGTTATTCGCTTGTTGAATATAACCAACCTCCAAAATGATACTTCTTTTGCCGCCTATAAAAGGTTAACTTGAAATGTCTAAGTTCAAAGTTTAATTTGGCTGCCCGTCCGTGCAATAAAGAGGTGGTAAGTTTATTTTTTCTCTTGTTCTCCTATTTTCTGGAGCTATGTGCTAGCCGATCGGATTGTAATTAGTCTTCTGCATAGTCTACATCATCCGTAAAACTACTATCCCAGTCTACATGAAATATTTACGCCTGATACAATACATCGCTTTATTTAATAGTCAGTAGTGTCATTAAATTCGCATTCTAGGACTATTTGCTAAAATAAGGACAAGACACCGTAGGTAGGTAACTGAATAAGCGATTGACATAATAAACAAGGATGATTATTTTGCTTTTTCTTGGTGTTGTCCACTAATTATTAATACTCAGTAATGATGATATAGTCAACAGTCATCGAATCAACTGATTGAATGTCTGTGAACATCAAAAAAGATTCCCAAACTATAATCCATCATTTTGAGTTTGATGGTGAACAAAGAAGTATAAACTCTTCACTCTGTTCACTAGCGCATCAGAATAGTTGATCGTGGTAGGCAAAGTCGGATGACTTTTCTCAGCATTCATTTTCAATTCTTACTCAGTATCCCAACCCCCAGTTGTTCAACAATATTACTGTTTGTAACAGTTGTAATTCATATTCTAGTTATTAGCCAAACGATTAACAGCCTTTGTGAGATCGCCCCTTAATGGTCACGGAATGATTCTCTCGGTTTTTTGTGTAGCTGACTTCCTCGTAGACGTCGATACCTCTGTGAAAGGTATGAAACTTACTGTCTATTGATGTCGAGTCCCTACCGATAGCTTGTACCTTGACATGATGGTCTGACTTGTGTATCGCAATCACCCAACAAGCTATACTGGCTGGAACTAATGTTCCCGCAGGAAAATTGTTAGGATAGCAACTAAACTAAAACCAGTTACCGGTATAGTGTAAGATTTTCTACACTGTGCAGTCAGCCAGTCAGTGGGGGTGTGTGGACAGAGTCTTACTGCTGGGGATGTAACAACATTAAGGTGTTTCCCTCCGATGACCAGCATGCCATCTATTCAGTTTACTCTGGAAAGAGGGTTATAAAAGGTGTACCCCAAAAATTGTACATCGCAACTTACGGTGGTCCGTAGCCGGCGGTAAGTTACTAATACGGAACAAAATCTAAAAGCCTGCTCAAACAGGTCGTATGTGACCGGCTTCAAGAAGTTGTCCCTTTGGCTCTGCGGTCATGCAACACATTATATTTCTGTTCCAGGCATCCCCAGTAAAAACCTTTCACGGTGTGTGCAGTCGGGCCCATACACTTCCAAAGGCATATGAAGCCCTCCATTGATTTCGAGCTTTGTACTGGTGTGTACAGAAATAGATCTGTAGTCCTATGATTCTACAATAAAAATTTAACTGAATTCTAATGAACAGAAGTAGAACTAATAATTTTTAAAATCTCTTGTCTTATTACCAAATAGGAGAAATTTGCGTCACAGGTACTTTGACTTCACTCACGGTTTTCCAGAAAATGAAGATGGGGATGCTGAAGTGGAACATTATTACTATCGTTCCACTCAAATTGTGCTGGCTATAAAATGCTCCATTCACATTCTCATAGTGTACCTAACTTGGCAACATATTCTATGGATAAGTTTTTAGCAGCCCAGTTCTAAATTTGAACTATAAGTTTGTCTTAAAACTTGCAAGTGCAGTTATTTCACTCAGTTTTAATGTCTAGTTCTGTGTATGCCATTGATTCATTCAGTCGATGTTAGCTACGACACTTATCGATAGCAATATTATTTAGCTTTTACTTTGTGTACTAAGTTCTAGTCGTAGCCCCCCTGCTTTATTAACCATGGTTCGTAACCATATAATAAAACAGAGGGAACTGTTGAACAGTAAAGTCCTACTCAGTAATTAGATGTATCTATGCTACCATAAGTGGTGAGATTTTATCAGCTGTCAATCTGCCGGAGTTAGTGCAACTTCTCATCCCTTCAAAATAATCTACATGTTCAACTGCTTCATTCTTTCATCATATGGGTTACTAATAAAATTCTGCAATGAAAATACAGTTTATGTTCTTAAGTGGGAAACATATCTCGAGCATTCTTGAGTTGTCACTTAAAGTTTCCATAAAACTACATCCTGTCGGATTACTTGTTTACTAGGACCCTACTGTCTACGTGAATGAGTGGTTTCAACGTAGAACTTTGCACAGATGTGCAGCAGTTCGAGTCGCCACACTTCACTTAGCACACAAAGCAAGAGAAGAAAGTAAAAAGAAATGCACAACAGAGATAGTATACAGAGATATAGGGCAAAACGAATAGTAACATGTAGGAACAATATAATTTTACTGCATATTGTAAGTCACAAGGTGTGGATACATCTGTGCCATTGGGAACGATGTTGAGCCATATCACCAGTTGTCTACAGCCCCTTCGAAATCAAGAATGTAAATGGGGATTTCTGTAGGCATTAATTATGCCTGACTGAGTTCCAGCATATAACTGCACAAAAGTTCAGCACTTTCAGTCTCCGCACTCCATGTAGCACAAAGGCTGAATAAAGGAAACAGAATTAAAAGAACTATAATAAACGGAAGTGTGAGTGAGAAAGAGCTGTAACATGGAAAAGATCTCAAAGAGTAAATGCATCGACAGCGATTCTGAGTCATATCACCAATTGTTTCAAGCCGTCGGTCCTTAGCATCTCGACGGTCCCAAAAAGGGGTCAACTGTAAAAGACTCCATGGACTGATGCCAGGTCAAACTGTAACCAGGAGGTCCTGGGTTCGAACGCCAGTGGGCGCGTACTGCCGGTGATTCCTAAACTAGGATGAAACAGCTGTCCAGTGCTCCTTGGTTTTCAATGGTTCTCTAACTGATATCAATCCGTGATCAACTCGTAAAAAATTTTAAAACATTTGAATTAAAATGTGAATAGCGCATATCCACAAAGGTGACTTGATACGGTGGTTCTTCTTGGTTGGTTACATGACCATCGTATTTAAATGCACGAACTTCAATAGGCGATGTAGTAAAACTTTTTAGAAAGTTACGTGGTACGTACGTACCATTCAGGTGGTTATTTCATCTGATGTTCGAAATTACGCGTATAACTGTACTTGCTGGAGTAGATGGATTGGAGAGTAATTTTGGAAAATTTGGGGATTGACACTTATGACTCCATACATTTGCTTTCGAGTGATTCTTTCATTGCAAATAGCGACTTTATACAAAAACGATATTTGACGAATTAGTCAGCAGTAGCCACCCGTAAAAATTGGTGGTCCCGAAAGCTTTGTATGCTTTTGGAAGTATGGGAAGTTATTACTTCCCGGTTACCGACACAATGGAGGTCGGTTTCTTCTTGGAGTACCTGAAACAGAAGAAGTATTAGTGTTGCATGACCGCAGAACCCAGCAAACTACTGCTTGAGGCCTGTTTGAAGTTGCGTCAGTTTTAATATCTTACCGCTGGCTACAGACCTCGCAATATAATTCGAGATATATAATTTTCGGAGTCGGCCTTTCCTAAACCTCACTGAAAGGCAGAATAGCTGGCTTGCTGGTCATCTGAAAGGAACCCCTTATTGCTGTTACATCCTTATTCACATGCAGTAATTCACCCACAGACCATCAACATAGTGGGAATAACTTACAATGGGATGGTAACTGTATGCATTCTTTTCTTTAAACTCAGTTACCACATACATTTGTCATGTACCAGGTTAAAAGCCACACTTACTTTATGGGCCGGTAATACTACTCATTTGCCCATGCTGAAATAGGTACAGTGAGACTTGGACTCGTGACCCATTGACTGAAAGCCGAGTGTTTAAACCAATGAGCCACATCTCCGCTTATATTCTAATGGCTGTCCAAATGATCGGGAACAGTGTGACTCGTCGGGTCACCGCGATATGTAAGCCTAACCATCATATCAAGGTAAAAGTTATCGGGACCCCAAATCGTAGACACTTTGTTGTCATGAGAAATCTGTTCATGGCAACTGAGTTCTAATTAAATGTACTTAAGTGGCATTGACTTACTATTGCATTGGTCATTCAATTCTCAACAGAACCTTTATTTATATTATTTTGTTTTGGAATTTGTGTTTAATATACTTTGTGTGATTGAGGAAACAGTTTTCTGTGTGACGAATGAACTTGTTGCAGCTATAAAGTATTATGATGTAGACGCTGGTATTACTTTAGTAGCCTTTTATTGATATTACTGATTCCATTTAAAACAAACTTGGCACATTATGGGTATCAAGAGATGTGTCATAGTTTGTGCGAAGGCTGGGATGTTGCGCGTGCATCCAGACGGAAGCAGGCGGTTGCCTTAAGATACCTGTCTGGAGCCTTTGAATTGCAGTGTGAACAACGAGGCAGTGGAGCTGCATTACCATGGTTGCTGGTGACCAAAACAGGTTCATACGCCATTCAATCCCTTAGAATGCTGGAGTCCATGTGGGCCATAGGCTTGGAATCAGAGTTTTCCAACTCCTCTAGGTAAACCTGCTTGTCACGCCAAGGCAGTGAATATGACTTACCTGAAGAGACTTTGAACCCGTAACCACATAAGAGCATTTCTAAAGAAAGACTGAAATAGATCCGTCCTCGGCCATACCAGGTCGTTTATAGGAGCTTTCTCTTGATGAACTCTCAGAAGATACAAAGTATTAATAAAGTGTAGAGATAAACAAAACTTTGAAATGAATGACTTTCTTCTTTAAGAAAACAGTATTATGTATAGTTCACGTATAATTTCCTGATACATATGTAGATTCTGAGTGCCTTTATTCATGGAGAGTATTTATTTTTGTATTTTTCTAGAACGTTTACGGTGATATTCCCCAAAGCAACAACGTATCTGTGATCTAAACACATATCCAAAGACAACCAACGATAACTTGTTTTGAAGATGCCTCCAAAAAGGAATGTCAGAAATAAAGGTGATGATGATGATGAAGATATGAAACCAGAAACTAACCACAATGAGAAGCAGAATACGAAGTCGGGTAATAAAAAAAATAAGGGGAAAAATGTCAACCAGGTTGTCTCAGATACAGAAGAAAATGAAACGACTACAAATAAGAAAAAAGATAAGAAAAAGAAAGGAAAGGAACAACAAGTGAACAATGATATAGATGAAGGAAAATTTGTAGAAAAGTCTGGGAATAAACAACTGCAGAAAGACAATAATAAATCCAGTAATGAGTCCCTTAAGTCAGATGATATTGATGAGGAATTCTACAAAAAGAAAAGAAAAGCCGGACGAAATGCTGGTGGTAAGCGGGCTGATTCTGATGACGAGAAAAAACCGAATTCTCAATCAAATAAAAAGCAAGCGAAAAAGAAAGGTAAAGGCGATCAGAATGAAATGGAACCAACCCGTGTAAATGATGCTGATGCCCAACAGAAAACCAAAGTGAATTTCACCGCTACAGAAGATTCACGTAAACCTTATGAACCTGATGAAGAAGAGTCTTTAAAACCTGAAGAAGTCGATGATGACTTGTATACAAAGAAAAGGAAAGCTGGTCGTGGAAAGCAAAAGAAAGGCGGTGAACAGCAACAACAACGACAACAGCAGCAAGAAGAACAACCACCTGTTCAAAATCAAAATGTAGGTGGAAAGAAAAAGAAACAGAAAGCTGGGAAGAAGAAAATTGACGATGGATTTAATAGTGAAAACGAAGATCTCGATGATTTAACTAAAGCTTTGACAAATGTTTCTTTAGAGGATGAAATAGATAATTTTGATTCTCGAAAAACCAAATTTGTTGCATTCTCTGATATGACTGTAGATCACAACGAAGAAGTAGTAGATCATGTTGAAGATACAAATAGTGGTGTAGAAATTGAAACAGATGAACGAGTGTGCATTGTCGCCGAACCAGAGATTAAAGATGTAGAACCACCTGTAGTTGTTGATAATTCCGTTAAAAGTGCGAGTTTAATCACTGTGATTGACGAAAAGGCTGACACTGATGGAGCACCAGCAGATAATGAAGGAAATGTAGAGAATGAGGCTGGTACTGTTAAAATAAAGGTGTCAAAGAAAGAGCTAAAGAAGCTTAAAAAGAAAGAAGAGTTTGACAAGCTTATTGAAACAGCAAAAGCAAAGATTATCGCATCATCTGGGACACTTGACAACTTTGCACTTTCTCAGGTAATATAGCCATTTTAAACCTCGCTTTATTTTCATACAATGATATCCCCTGGCAAATTTGAACAAAGCAAGAAGAATATATTGTGCAGAATAAAATGTTAGACTGATTGTTCTTGGTTGTACAGAGCAGAGAACAACCAACGAAATACAATAATGTCATCTTATCCTGCGCAATATATTCTTGCCTTATTCACTCTGTTTTGTTGGTTTAAATTTTCATTTAAGATCAATTAAACTCTGTTTATAGCTTATTGTCTTCGCCACCACTCATTGATTTTGCGTATAGATGTGACTACATGTTAATCATGTGTTTTTATTTACATTGTTTCATAACGAAACAGATGCTTATATATATATATATATATATATATATATATATATATATATATATATATATATATATATTCTTGCGGTTTAAGTCTTATCTTAATCTCAGTAGGAGTAGGTTAGAACTTTTGGATTATGAGTGCTCTTGAATTATGACTTCCATGTAATTGGATTATTATTGGAAGAGCCTCAATAAAGCGTAAAATTCTGGTTAACATAGGACAGACTAATGGTTGAGGTAGTAAACCACCATCATTTGCCGAAGTGAGCCTCATGCTGCATACGTATCAGATGGAAGATGAAGAAAACTTTAAGGTGGTGTACGATTTATGACCTCAGCGCATATGCTCATGCCACTATTGTAGAATGCTTGGAAAGAAAATAAGGTACCTACCCTGTCAGACTTCTAAAGAAGGGCGATAACTGGCGCGTAATCATGTTTCTGTCCACACCAAGCTAAATATTTGACCGCATCATTCTAGAGAGATCTGAAGATGATCTGGTTACAAAACTCCGCCTAGAACACCCTGGATTCAGCAAAGGTAGATCATGTGCGGACTGAAATGCAATTCTACTTATCATCATCGAACAAAGCATAGAATGGCAGTCAACTCTCTCCCTCAACTTCATGGATGGCGTCGACCATGAAATAATTTAGTAACTGCTATAATACTACAGGTGCGTCGGTGGCATAGCGGTTAGGACGCTCGCCGACCATGCACATGGTCCGGGGATCGATTCCCGGTCGGCGCAATCCTTTACCTCGCTTAGCCAGAAATAATCCTGGTAAAGAGGAAAGGTTGGGCATGAGGCTAGCAACCTCATCCTGTAAAATAAACACTGCTACAGAAACTTCAAGCCACTAGCTTGAAGCCCTATGTTCCACAGGGGAACGTGAAGGAAAAATTAATCAATTAATTAATAATACTACGGAGTTCAGTGCCGCGAGCCCTCATAAACCTCATCCAATAGCTAAGTGATGATGCCACTTTCCAAGTGATTCTTAAAGGGGGAACTTAGTGAAGCGTTTAAAATAATGTCAGGTCTAAGACAAAATTGTCTACTACAACCGATGATCTTCCTGACTGTGGTGGACTGGATCATGCACCAAACTGTGGACAGCAATAAGGGTATATGTTTGATCTAAAAAAAAGACCCTAGAAGACTTAGATTTCGTGGATGAATTCTGTCTAATGCTACTTGCACTCGATGATCGTGCAGGTGAAAACCAGTAAGTTGGTAAAAGAGGCAGGCAATGAAGACAGGACTTCAAGTGACAAAGATACCTAATCAACAACTGCAATCACTAATCATCATTAACGAGAGAAATCTAAAGGAAGTTACTTCTTTCACTTATCTAGGTAGAATCATTTCAAAAACAGATGACACTGAATAGAAATGCTTTAAGAATGTGAGCTGGATAAAATTGGGTTGCATATATATAATCGTAAATAGTAAACACCTCTTTTATTTTATGCCTTTTTTCTAATTATTTACCATCATTGTCTTCATAGGTCGAATTCAATCACTTTCTTGTATTTTTCTGCATAGAATTATGTCCAGTGTTTTGGCCCATCTACTTTGCAGATTGATTTTACCTTGTATGCAATATATTTTGATAAGTATATACATAAATCTGATCTCTTTTTTGGTGTTTTTCAAAAAACAAAATCTAGGCCGGAAGTAGTTCAAAATCGGAACAACTGGATAATCAACTTGATATACGAGTTGAAAATTTCTCAATTGCTGCTAAAGGCAAAGATTTATTTGTTAATGCTTCTTTACAAATTACTCATGGTCGTCGTTATGGATTGGTGGGACCAAATGGGTAAGTGGATTACTACTACTGTTGCTATGACTACGCGCTAGTTGCACTACTAATCATAATTGAATAATTGTTGGTTTAATTGTTTGATAATATTTCGTGTTTTATTTTATTATTATTATTCCCTTGGGTTCCGAGTGGAACATAGAGAGTGCTTCAACAACACATCTCCACTTTGTTTTATTTAATAGAATTGCTAATTTTTGAATTTTTATTCACTTGGTTTTTAATCACTATGTGTTTCTATTTTAGCTGTCAGTCAGCAGTGTTGGCTGGCATAGAATTAGGTTGGAAGAGACTTAGGGGTGATCAAATCAAAACATGGCATCAGTCCATGAAGTCTTTGACTGTTGATTTTAGCCAGCCATGTGGGAAGGTGTAGACTGTAGGTGACGTGGCTCGAAATCGTTCTCAATTGCATGGATGCATTCACTCTTTGTGATCCTTCAGATTCATTAAGTCCTTATTTTTCCCCATATAGTTTATTCTTTCTTCTGCACATTTCCGCTCATTGTAATTCCTCAGTGCTTTTTCCTCTACATATGTGTACTTATGAAGTGTGGTAACTTAAATTGCTACACTTTTGTGCAGAGCTCTGCTATAAAAACTCAGTCAAACAGTCAGTCTTATTGTAGTTGTCTACAACAAGAAATCCAAGTTTTTAAAGTAATATTTCCGAAATCGAATAGTGGCTTAATGGTCTACGAGCTCGCCTTGTAACCAGAAGGTTCTGGGTTCGAACCCGGTGGGTGCGCACTGATGAAGAGTCCCAAACTAGGCTGACGAAACAGCTGTCAAGTACTCCCAGGTTTTTGAATGGTTCTCTAACCGATGTCAGCTCATGATAAAATCCTGTAACCAATGTTATATTAGTTATTTACGTGTTCTTGCTTTTAGTCGTCAGTTATTGGGATACTTTACACTATAAATGCATTCTCAGTCCCCTATGATTGTTATTGTTATTATTTCAAGTGTAATATTATGCCTCATATTCAGTAATCTACCCGAGCTCTACTCAGTACTCCGTCTTCTATCTTAATAGTCTAATATTATATTTACTATATAGATTTGGTTTTGTACATGTACACAATGACGGGCTTAGAAAATGGTCACTGTAACTTTTTTTCTGTCCTTTTTTCACATAATCCATTTTGAAAAAGTTATTGATTATATTAAATATTTCCCTTTTACTGTTTAATTCAGCTATGGGAAAACGACATTACTTCGTTATATTGCTACTCGAGCTATCAACATCCCTGCTAATATTGATGTACTTCTTTGTGAACAAGGTTAGTGCTTATTGTTTTGTTTCTAATACACAGCCAGTCAGTCAGTTGTCTGCCTACCTTCCTACATGAATAACTATATTAGAAGGCTTAATATGTTCTGTTATTTACCATAGAATATAAATTTATTTCTTAGCTCTCAGTATTCCAGTGAATATATAACGCCTGTGTTACTAACGTGGATTTGTGAATTAGCAGAACAAGCAGTTAACTGACTATAAACCTATTTCGAAAAAAATTAATACTAATCGTCATAAAGTTTCATGGTTTAACATTGTTCTCATTCACTCCTAGTTATAAGTGTCAATTACTCACAGAAACATAATAATAAGAAAAATAAACTGGGAGTTCAAATCAAAAATATAACTGGATAATAACTATTGAGGAAATGAACTGTTTATAACAGATGGTAAAGAAAGATGTTGAACCCACTTCCTTTGGATGCATAGCGTTGGTTTGAATTTTTCGATCATTAAGGCTACAGCTATGCTCAGACGTCTTGATCTCACTCCATTTAAGAGTTTAATTGAATCTTGTATAGAACTTTGAAGTATTTCTCAAATGGAGCTGAAATTAATTTCATGAGACGTTTTGTTACCAAACTATAAACACACTTACGTTCTCCTTTTACTTACTAATTTGAATAATGTCCACGAGCGCGTTTTACTACCGGATGCATGGTACAACCAATGTATTCAGCTCTACAGAATCAAGTGAATTGCTATAAGTATGTAGATGTAGCCCAATACGATAGTCTGCCTTTCAATACTTGCCGAATAGTTTATTGCAAGAAAATGTTACTTGTAGGCTGACAGCGAAGTATGTTTTATTGAAAGATCTTGAAAGATATTCTGAGGAACTCCCTGCCTCAATATCGCTTTTAAATTCAGTAGCTTTCTTTAGATCCAGGCTCTGGGTGGTAAATCGTTTTCTATCAAGATTTGTCAGAGAATTTGCAGCTCTTCGCTAACAAACTCCCCGGCGCATATTTTCGAATCTTTGAGGAAAGAAAATAGATAAGATTCCTCTTAAGTGGGACATAACTTTCAAAATTAGTAAACTTTCCGTCCTATGTAGGATTTTTATAACCAGATCTCCTGAACAAGTTATCAGCCTTTCTTCGCATGTGAACATCAATAAAATGAAACACTGAGTAGTGAAATTCTACTTTTAGAGTGAAGTCGAGGTTTGGAGTGGACATTATTGAAGCTCTAGATCCAGTTTCCGTGATTCAAATTCGCATCACAAATAGTGAAAGTATCATCGATGTATCTCTTATAGAGATGAAGCTTATCTATTGATGCTGATGAGCTAATATTTTCTAGGCTTCCCATAAAGTAGTCGGCCTAAAAGACAACCCATTACCACATCCTCTATTCGTTGTTGAATCTGAAGTAAACGTTGAAAGTGCATCAGAGCAATAGCTCTTTTAGATAATGAATTGGTATACAAACATGAATATTATTGTATTGAATTTAGTCACATAAAAAATAGTGGTTTCTGTATCAGTGGAATATTAGCACAGAGCGAAACGACATCTTAGGAGGGCATTCTTTTACCTACCATATTGGCACACTCAATTGACGAAATCAAATGTATCCCAGAGATTGTATCTCAACAGTTTCTCCTTTATGGGTCCAAGAATCTTTACCATCCACTCCACGATTTAATGATTTAAAGAACTCCCTATTGATTTTTCTTGATATTTTCCCAATACCTATTCTCATATTACAAAAACTGCATAGTAGTACTACATGAGGAGGATATCAGGGACAGTTGGATGTGATTTCAACTGGTCCCCTTACTTTTTGTTAATTTGTTTAGTTAAATAAGATATAGTCAATTTAACAATGGTTAAATTTTGTCTTGACGAGTCTAATATTATGATGGAGCCATTGCTCATTGGCTTAAACAATCAACTTATGAGCAGTGCGTTCTGGATTCAAGTTCAACTTCTACCAATTCACGATTTTAGTTCGACTACCAACCATTGTCATCGCTAAGAGATTCTCTTTACTCTCGACTTGATAGACCCCATTAGTCACAACTTCTCACTAGAACTTCGCACAATTACACATCCTGTAGCCAGTCACTAGCGAACATCAAATTAATTTTTAAGAGTTCATTTTTAGGGGTTTGATTCGTTTTAAATTTGAAACCATGAAGTCCTGAGTTCGAACCCCATTATGTGTATATGTACTGCCGAGGAGCCCCAAGCTAGGATGAAACAGCTGTCCAGTACTCCATGCTGGTTTTCAATGGTTCTCTAACTGATATCAGTCTGTGGTGGAGGTTGAAACAAGTCAAATCCCTACAAATGAACTCTTGATAATAAATGTTTGGTTTGTCTTCTTAATTGCGAGTAAACCGTGGGTATAAGATGATTTTGCATGTAATTAGTGGATATATAAATTAATGGCTTGTGTATTCTTATCATTACAATAATTCTTATGTGACATTATCAAGTAGTAGTGTTTGTTAAATTTTTATCTTTGACTTCTTGCTCGTATTCATTGAATTCTTTATCCTTATGTATATTATTATATGCTTTTCTAAATCTCTTCTACACTCTTTTATCTTACTATTGCAATATTTTTAAAAATGTATTTTACAGAAGTTCAAGCTGATTCAACACCAGCTTTTGAAATGGTCCTGAAATCAGATAAAAAGCGATTGGAGTTACTGGAAGAATTTGAAAAGATAAAAAGTCGTTTAGAAACAGAGCATAGTCAATCTTTAGTTGATAAGCTAAATGAAGTGAGTCTGAAAAATGAAATTAGTTTTCTGAACTTTTTCATTTCTTCATCTCTAGAGGTCATCGTTTACCGCTTTTTGTTATATTTCCTTTGTGTTCCGAGTGGAACAAGGAATGAGGCTTCAGGCTTAAGCACTAAAGTTTCAGTAGCGGTGGTGTTGTTTTTTTTTACGGGATAGCGCTGCCAGTCTCATGCCTAACATTCTGTCTCTACTGAGCTTAATGCTGGCCAAGCAAGATTTATCGGTTCATCGGCCAAGAAACGAACCTCGGGACCACGTGCGTGGTTGGCGAGTATTTTACAAATGAATCACTGACTCATGAGGATAATCTTACACTGTTAATATCTCGCGTATTTCATCTGCCTCATAGACACCTGAATTTTGTCTAAGTAGTTGTGTACTGTCATTGTATTTGTAACACTCAGTTGGCTTAATTCTTCAATCTGACAACTATCACCTCGATTTTAAAAGAATCTAATTTTCAGAGAGCCGTCCTTCTTTTATTTCACTATAGGAAGCAAGGCAATGTGATAAGCTCTGAATTATAGTAGGTGTAACCCCATTGTCCACTGTACTAATTATATCAGTAATTTATTTTTGAGAATAGAATCCACGCTTTACTCGCTTGTACGTCGGTGGCTCAATGGCAGAATGCTCTCCAGTCATGTGATAGATCCAGGTTCTATGTAGCTCACAGCTTTAAATGCTTGGTTTTCAGTTGACAGGTGGTCTCAGGTTCGAGTCCCGTTTCACCTAATTCAGCTGTCTGTCTGTTTTCGACATAGAACTTTGCACAAATGTGCGGAAGTTCAAGTCCCACACTCCGTGTAGCACACGAAGCAAGAGAAGAAAGTACAAGAAAAGCATAATAGAGACAGTGAGCAGAGGTGTGAGACAAAGGAGTATAATAACGAGAAACAAAACAGTTTCATTGGAGATCATAAGTCACAAGAGTGGATGCATCTGCGCCAACCACTGAGAACGATTTTGAGCCATGTCACCAATTGTTTCCAACCATAGATTTTTACTGTCCCGAGGACCCCAGCCTGGAAGTCTACACCTTCCTACGTGGCTTAGACCAACTGTTGTGGATTTCATTGACTGGTGAGGCCATGTTTTTGTTTGACCGCCGCTTGCTTTTTTCCAGCCTGACCCTATACCGCCCGCACACGGTAAGTGTGGCTCTTAACCTGGTGCATAAAAAATCTGTTCCGGGTAGTTCAGCCTAAACAAAGAAGCCAGGTTCAATTCCTAGCTGACGCACTCCTAAACGTCGTCACTTAGTCTTCTGGCCGATTGTAAGCCGACAAAGAGAGGAAAAGTTTGCAGTGAGGGTGGAAATTCTTTCCCGTAAAAGCGACACCACTGCCACTGAAACTACAAAAAGGCGTGAAGCTCTATGTTCCACTTAGGATGCACGATATGAAAACAAAAAACTTTGCATCCGCGAGTTATTATAATGGCATTATATCTATCGTACCAATCTTTTTCAGGTTAAATTAAATCCTTGTCAGCAAACTAATTCCGCAAAGTATCGTAGATTACTGTTTAGAGCAAAGTTATGCTGCCAACACAGATTATCTTTCTGATGAATATCATTTCAGTCGTGTTTTTATTGTATTTTACAAGGTCTGTGAAGAACTTGTTGCAATCAAAGCTGATGCAGCAGAAGGCAAAGCAGACGCATATTATCTGGTTTAGGCTTTACAAAAAGCATGATGAACAGAGCAACTAAAGATCTGTCTGGTGGTTGGCGAATGCGTGTCAGCTTGGCTAGAGCTTTGTTTTTAGAACCAACACTTTTATTATTGGATGAACCGACAAATCATTTAGACTTAAACGCAGTTATATGGTTGGACAAGTGAGTTTTATTCACTTTTGATAAACAACTCTTGTTATTACAACTCAATTAACCAGAACACGTTATTCATTTCGCAGACTATATAAGCGTATTTGTCGAAAGATGGTTACTGGTAATACCTGGTTGACCAAATTGAAATAGTTGGCGGCAGATTTGAACATGTTACTCGTGGACTGAAAGTTGAGTACTTAAGTCACTGGGCCAAAGCGCAGCAGCATTTTGATAAACAACTACTCATACATCCCCTTGATGAATTTGAATAAGGCGAGAACAACAGTGATTTGTGCAGAATAACACGGTACCATCATTTATTTCGTTGGCTTCTCATCAGCTGCTTACAGCCTAAATAAATTTTGAGGTTTAAGTACAGAAACGTTTTAACGTACTTGCAAATTTTACATGTTGTCAGTTGACAGAAAGTTCCACAATTAGTAAACAGTGCTCAGAAAATTGCGCTTATATAGTTTTTACACAGGCAGTTCAAGTTAAAACAAAATAAATGTATGCATATAATGGTAAGGGAGTTGCATAATAAAGATGAGATGTGCGTTAGATGCATAGTGACTAATAAGTTAGGTAACAATGTACTGAGTTGAACTCAAATCATAGAAACAAGAGACAAGCAAAATTACAGATTATAAAAGGAAGGTGAGGTTAAAGACAAAGATTACGCAATCAGATGAGAGAAAAAAAGACATCCAGTTACCAAGGCAAGGAAAGACTAATAACTGATTCTTTCTGAACACATAAATCTGGTTTCAAGCGTTTGATAGAAATTGCTTCGGCAAACTTGAGGAGAATGGAGCTCCTTTGTCTATTGATAATTTTGAAGGATTTCTCGATTTCCACCTCATGACCCGTGTCGAGGAGATGTCTGGTAATAGCGCTGCTATAAGAGTTTGTTCCCTTGAGACGTAGGCTTTTCGGCACATGTTCAGAAAATCGGAGGTGTGCCCTTCTTTCTGTTCTCCCAATGTAACTGCTCCCGCAGATACACGTAAATTTGTATACACAGTTGGAGTTAACATGAGAAGGGTATCTATCGACTTTTGACTGCACCAAAGAGCATGTTGTTCGGTGGACGGGAACCAACTTAGCTGCAGGATAGGCTCTGGCTAGTGACGTCCTCAGTCTTCTGTTGACCATTTCTGCAATGTCTTCACCTTTAAAGTCTAGTTGAATGAAGACAGGCTTTTTTTCGACTGTGATTTGTTTGGTATTTGGGCCTTCACATCTTCCATATTTGTTAATGAATTTTTGAGTATAGCCGTTGTTTTTCAGCACCTTTTCGAGATTCGTGAATTCTTCCTCTAGTTTCTCTGCAGAGCATATTCTCCTCGCTCTATAGTACAGAGTCTTGACTAGTGCTCGTTTATAGCTATTTGGACAAAAACTATTAAAATGTAAGTATTGTCCATTCCATGTGGGCTTTCGGTAGATTGACCTCTGGAGGCTACCATCTTCTAGGCGTTTTATGGCGACGTCAAGGAAATGGAACTGTCCATCATTTTCATGTTCCATAGTAAATACAATATTTGTATGTGCGTTGTTGAATAGTCTGAGTAGGTAGGAGGCATGACTTTCGTTGTTGCATACTACAAATGTGTCATCGACATATCGACAATAGGAAGTTGTTTGATCAATTGCATGCTTCAGCTTTGTTTTCTCAAGGTTTGACATAAAGATATCTGCTAAAACAGGGCTAAGTGGACTGCCCATAGCTACACCATCTATTTGTCGGTAAAGAGTGTTGTCAAACTGGAATTGTACACCCATGGTACACATTAGCAGTAGGCGTTTGAATTCCGGCTCTGGTAGTGGGAGAAGATCAGACTGTTGACAAATGATCTCAATGGTTTCATTGATTGGGATCATTGTGAACAAGGAGGTTGCATCAAATGAAGCCATGAACTTATTTGAAACGTTCATGTGATTCACGCTTCCGGCAAAATGAAATGAGTCTTTTATGGTATGCCCGGCTAGCCTTTGGCGAATGGGTTCCAACTTCTCCGCAAGCCAACGGGCAACCTTATGTTGGGTGTAAGGTGTTAGGCGTAAGGTGTTGGATGTTAGGCTGTAAGCAGCTTATGAGAAGCCAACGAAATAAATGATGGTACCGTGTTATTCTGCACAAACCACTGTTGTTCTCGCTTTATTCTAATACTCATACATTACTGACAAACCATTTTATTGTAATCTTTATTACGTGTAGGTGGTTCAGTGCTCGAATCTCCATCAACCACACACACAGTTCGGGGTTCGATTTTCGGCTGATACATCCTTAAACCTCACTTAGTTTGCCAACCGGTGGTAAGGAGAGGTTTGGCGTGAAAACAGCAACCTCACTCTCTAAAAAACAACACCCGCTGCTACTCAAACTTCAAGGCTTAGAACTTGAAGTATTATATTCCACTTCGAACTCAAAAGGAAAGAAAAATTTTCATTATTACAGTCGAGCTTCACAATCCATACATCCATACTAAAGCAGGAAGCTGCACAGAAGGGCGATTTCTTAAACCCTATAACTTCGGCCTCTAACTCACAAGACAGAAAAGTAATTTCAGGATCAGCCATCACCGAGGAAAAGACTAACTTATACACCACTTGTCCATGTGCACATAAAGTTAAAAATTTAGAATTCTTAAGCTGCTGCATATGGCCCCTCCGTATCCATTGTTTAACTTTGGTTGACTGTTCCCCACTACATGAAAGCAGTGAATTGGGTTTCTTTCTCAAAGAGTATAAATGCATTTCAAGAGAAGAATGGATTTCATCTAACATCGGACACAACATAGTCTATGTATACTGTACTTGTATTTTTAGTGTTTTCGTTAGCATCGTGAACATTTACTAGACTTCCTTGTATACGCCTTACTTAAGTTAGATATTGTCTGTCTTTGTTTTCTTCTCTTTAGCTATCTTCAGAAATGGAAAAAAACACTTTTGATCGTTTCGCATGACCAGTCATTCTTAGATAATGTGTGTACAGATATTATTCATTTAGACCAGCGTCAGTTATTTTATTATAGGGGGAATTATCGTAAGTTATAATTGTTATAGTTTTTTTTACAAGTGTTTTTGCTTTCATTCATCCTAAAAACACACATTGTTGGCATAATTTAGTAGTGAGTACACCATTGATAGACTTGGCCTAAAACGAGTAAAACGGCTGTCAAGTGTTTAGGTCACTTCGATCTTGTTGGTTGGCAGGCACTACGTCTTTCCAACAACTCATCGGTCAATCAACAGTATGCAACATCACTATGTTTCCCTTGCTTTTATGATTACTATTTTTGGTATTTAGTAGATCGCGTATATTGTGCTCTGCACAGTCTAAGTCCAAAGTATTTTTGTAAGATTGGCGGGAGTCGGTACCTGAACTCCCTCTTGCAGGTGAGCCACTTGAAGTTGTCAACAGTTTCGTACATCTAGAGAGCTGTCAAAGTGGTTGGGTGGGTGTGACATATGAAATCTCTAATCGTTTAGTGAGAGACATGTTGGTATACACCAACTTGTGTCACCTCTGGCGCCGCCGCTGTGATGTCAGTCTGGTCGTCGAAATTGGAGTTCTTGGAAAATACCCATATGGACATTAGAAAGAAGAGAACACGAAGTTCAGCAAAGATATCTTTTCGGCGATTTCATTCTCAAAAGCTGTACAATCGCATTTATATAGATTATTTTAACATGGATAGAATTATTATTTGTTTAATTTCACATAGTAACGAAGGTGATAATAATTTCCAACTTGATATGATAGTTTGAAGGTACGAATATAGATTACAAGAGGCTTAGAGACAAGATTTCATAGGATTAGAAAATAGTTACAACGTATGCAAAAAATTAATATTTGATAACTGGAGAAATAATTTTAAAGGCGAATCGAAGGTGATAATTATTTTCGATTTGATATGAATTACAAGAGGTTTAGAAACGCAGGGATAGTACGAACTACAGGTGTGAACAAAATGAGCATGGAAACAAATTGAAATCAAAATTTTCAACTTGACATGTTAGTTAGGAGGTATGAATATAGATTACAAGAGGCATAGAAACAAAAAATTACACACGATTAGAATATAATTGTAAAATAGTTATTCTAAACGGATTACAAGTGTGATCAGGAGGGGCATGGAAACAAAATTAGGGGTTCATGATGCTTAGATGCGCGCAGCTTTGCTCTGCGTCTGCGGGACCTGTCTTCTTCGAGGTGAGGATGTGTGGCGACTTTGTGTATTCGATCATCTCTATCTCTGTAGAGATGCTTGTGTCCCATGGCACCATTGTGTAAGTAATTCTGAGGTCCATTAGCGTTTGTTTGGACATGGTGGAAATTACTTATCATCGAGAGTGGTCGGCCTGAAAAACCTATTTTGGTAGCTCGGAGATGTGCTGTCTGTTCGCTAGCGTTGGAACTGAGTGGAAAAAGCGAAGAGGTAGTCAGCTGATGACGTGGTGCCGTGGGATGAAGGATATCTGTGCTAGCTTAGCATCCGTTGGTGTGTCACAACTCCCTGGGTGGGTGGGTTCCAAGAAGTAATTCGAATCCATGATATAGTAAAATTGGTAATTTGCACTTAGATATTAAAATCTCAACAACAACAAAACACTACTATCTGTTCCAGGATAGTTTTTCAAAATAAATCACGTTGACTAATTATTCACTCCACATGTTAGCTAAGTGATTCAGATTCTTATTAAATTTAGCCTATTAGTTTGCGGGTGTCTTGTGGTCAGTTAATTATATGTGATACATTTTCAATGAAGTTTTTCATCAGATATGTTTACGTCTTTTCCTTTCTGTGTTTCTTTTCTGCTGCTAGTTAACTTCAAAGGTATGTTACTTCAGAGGAGAAAAGAACAACAAAAGGAGTATGAGAAACAAGAAAGACGCCTCAAGGAATTAAAACAATCTGGAATGAGTAATAAACAGGCACAAGCAAAAAATCAACGAGATGTACTCACACGAAAACAAGCGAAAAATAAGGTCGCTTTAAATGATGATAATAGTAGTGGAAAACCTCAACTGCTCAGTAAACCAAAGGAGTATGTGGTTAAGGTAATTTTGTGTTGTTTTCGCTGTCTGTCGACAGACATGTTTTAGTCTTATCTATTATCTGTTTCCTCTGTCCACGGGGACGAGTCCTTCGTGAAATTGACAATGAGTTAAACCTATTATATCAAGACTAGTTAACACTTCCAAGGGCTGCCCAAGCCCCTTGGTGCGTGGGTTGGAATTGGTTGGAAGCCGAGAGCGAAGACCATAGCTCCATACCACCTGGGAAATTATCAGATGAATATTATTTATCTAGACTGCTGACATTCGTCGACTGTCGAATAGGGGAGATCAGTGTCATCCCATTCCGGTTTACAATCACACTGTCCACTTATGATCGGTAGAATCCATCATGAAAGCACTTAGAAACTTGCATAATTGCATATTAGGTGTTACTATCTAGTGACTACGAATTTTTAGGTTACTACATCTCATTCTTTGGTTTGTACTTCATTCATTGAATACCCTTAAAGATATTAAAATATGGAAATTGTTTGGTGTTCTCCTAGCTTAAGCCAAACCGATCAAAAACTGTCCAATCAGGTTATCGTTTCAGTGTATGCATTAACCATGGCTTCGCCGCTAATAACGATAGGTTGTCCATCCTAACAAGACCGAAAAAGAGAGATATTTAGGCGTAAGACTAGCAACTCCAACCCATCAAGTACAGCAACATTACCGCCACTGAGGCATTACTTTTTAAATTTCCTACAGCTAACTGACGAAAGCGTGTTTGTAGAGGTGTGTGTGTGTGTGTGTGTAGAGAGAGAGAGAAAGAGAGAGAGAGAGACAGAGATTGTCTTTCAATCTTGGGATGGCGTAATCAGTTACTTACACTTACTTTCTATGAATACTTCTCTCTTTTCATGAATAATAATAGGCAAATATTTTTTGTCTGATTGCTTAATTAATTAATCAATTAACTAATTATCATTCTCTTTCTTCCTTTTTGTCTATTCTAGTTCACATTCCCAAATCCATCGCCTATTTCACCACCAATTCTTGGTTTATACAGTGTTACATTTGCTTATCCAAATCAAAAACCATTATTTAAAGATTTAAATTTTGGTATAGATATGACATCAAGAATTTCTATAGTCGGTCCAAATGGTGTTGGCAAATCAACTTTTTTAAAATTACTTACAGGTGAAGTACAACCAACTGAAGGAGAACGTCGATTAAATCATCGAGTAAAAATTGGCAAATATGATCAACATTCAGCAGATCAGTTAAATTTAAGTGAAACACCAACTGAATATTTACAACGTTTGTTTAATTTAACCTATCAAGTAAGTGTATGCGTTTCTTCCTTTTTCTCTCTTTTTTTTAAAAATCTCATTAATATACACTGACTGTGACTACTTTGTGAACCATAGAAATTTGAACAGAAGTGTAGCAGTTCAAGTTGTCATACTTCATGTATCATCACACAAACAAAGAGAGAGAGAGAGAAGACGAGATTCAAAACAACTATAGTAAGCAGGAATTTGAAGGAGAAAGAACAGTAACATGGAGAAAACAAGAAAGCTTAATGAATATGGTAGATCACACAGAGTGAATGTATCTACGATTATAAGTCATATCACGGATTTTCTCCAGCTATTGGTTCTTAGAATCCCGAGAATGCCAACTAAAGCAGTCTTACACCTCTCTATGTGGCCCAAACTAACTGCCAAATAGTTCATGGTTTGATCACAACTGACTCTTTTGCAACCTGATCCTACCTATGTCAACTGATATTGCTCGTTGAGAAAGGTGGTGGCTAGACATGCGTAACACGTGTTCTGTCCCTCTCAATTTGTGTAACTTCACAATTTCATCGATTAACTTTCACTGCTTACCTAACACTCGACGCCTAACCTCAATACTACTCATCCTAGTATACCACCTAACACGGGAGATAGAATGGGAACCACCAATGATCAAAGACAGGGTAGTCTTTTCATATTCCCTACTTTCAGTGACCATGTCTTACAGTCAATTATATCAATAATCAATTAATTGACTCTAAATTATTGTATCTTCAAGAAGTCTATCTCAGGGCTAAACTATGGGGAGACAAATGTCCCGTATATCTTAACCTCTGATAGTTCTCTAAATAATGTCGATTCGTTGAGTTCTACCCTGAAATTAATAAAATCCGAACAAATTTCCCTCATGGATGGAAGAGGTACTATTGGTCGATATTTTTTAAGTAAGCTGTGAACTAGAAGTTTCTCTTAAATCTAGATCAAAGGCGAAGTCTTTCGCATTATATTGATTCCTGTAAATCTTTTCACAACACATTTCACCCTTTAATCATGAAAATTATTGATCTCGAGAAATCACTATGTTATTATTGTTATTCTCTTGGGTTCTGAGTGGAACATACCGCTTTAGAAGCACATCTCCACTTTTTTCGGTGCTCTGCAGTCCTCTTTGGTTCACCACACGTTGTCCATCTGTTCACCACATGATCTCGTCTGTTACCTTCGGATGTATGCCCAATTCATCGTATCCCATACGGGTTCCACTCAAGCAGTGGCCTGACGCGCGATGTTATTCGATGGTCTCCTCAATGTGTATTGTATCCATCTCCTTTTTTTCTACTTATCTGTTGAACTACAGATTCTTGGTTGGTTCATTCCCATAGTTTCTTGCTACTAATTCTTTCTGGTCCTTTGATCTTCAATATGGAGCCAGTGAAGGCAGCTGTCTACAACCGGTTTGAAATGCTTCAGGGCGAAGTTCCCAATGCATACAGAAGAACTAACTTAACAATTGTGCTGAAAATTCGAACTTTGTTGTTTATGCTTCGGAGTGTAGAAGATTTTCAAACTGGTTTCAGAGTGATGAAGGTCTACTTTTGCCTTTCCGATTCTAGTTTTGGCATCCTCATCCATTCCTCTCCTGCAGTTGGAACGACGCTACCTAAAATAATGGTGAGGGAAGTGACCGCTTTCATATTTCTTCCGTTGATAGTGATTGGTGCTGGTTGTTGGTGGTCGGTTATCTTCATCACCTCCATCTTCCTTATGTGTTTACTTGCAGTTTTGTCTTTACTGCTTCTTCAGCCGGTGTTTTCTGTCTGTCTGTCTGTTTTCGACATAGAACTTTGCACAAATGTGCGGAAGTTCAAGTCGCCACATTCCGTGTAGCACGCGAAGCAAGAGAAGAAAGTACAAGAAAAGCATAATAGAAACAGTGAGCAGAGGTGTGAGACAAAGGAGTAATAAAGAATAACAAAACAGTTTCATTGGAGATCATAAGTCACAAGGAGTGGATGCATCTGCGCTGGCCACTGAGAACGATTTTGAGCCATGTCACCAATTGTTCCCAACCATAGATTTTTACCGTCCCGAGGACCCCAGCCTGGAAGTCTACACCTTTCTACGTGGCTTAGACCAACTGTTGTAGATTTCATTGACTGGTGAGGCCATGTTTTTGTTTGACCGCCGCTAGCTTTTTTCCAGCCTGACCCTATATCCGCTAACATTGCTCGTCGAGGGAGGCGATGGCTTGGCATACGTAACACATGTCCTAACCATCTCAGTCTTTGTAGCCTCACGACTTCGTCGATTGATTTCCCCTCTTTACCTAGAAGTCTACGCCTAACCTCCATGTTGCTCACCTTATTATGCCACTTTACACGGGAAATAGAACGCAGGCACCTATGATCAAAGACAGCTAGTCTTTTCATGTCTTCCACTCTCAGTGGCCAGGTCTCGCTCACAACCATAAAGGAGGACGGAGCGGACTGATGAGCCGGTGTTTTGGTTTTTGCCAGTAAGTTACCGAGTTTGTGTGACACTACATAAATAGTCGGCAATATCCAGATCTGCTAGAGAGCTCTATTATTGTTCCATTTGTAATAGATGTCACACACACAAGCTAACGCAGTCACTTCATTCACTACTGTGTATACCGAAAGACCGGATAGCAAAAGAAGATAAGAACACAACACCATCTGTAAAGTAAACTCTATGAACTGCGATAAGAACTATATCGATCAGACTGGGCGTACCCTTCGACTCCATGTCCAAGAATACATATTAGCTACCAAAAGACACAACATGTACTACTTCTTCATATCAGTTCAGTAAAAACAACAACTATAGACACCAATTTGACTAAAAACAGCTAGGAACTTTAAACAGTGGAAACACTGAATATGTCAGGGGATCTCTATACCCCTGATATTCACATACCCATCAGCAACTAACTAACAGATACATTATTATATGCGCATATCAAATTTATCAACTTACGAAAAAAATGAGCCACATGACAGACAATAATATGTCAATGATGAAGATCAATGCTGATGCAAATTAACAATTAATCACAGCAAAGTTAGTCAGGAGGTACGTACGATGTTATAACTAATATAAAGTTTAAATAAGTTCACGTTATTCTTTAGTCTGCAATGAAGATGTTATCTAGAAAGAGAATGAAAGCTTTGCAGTTAAACTGTCCAGATCAGAGAATGCAACCACATCAAATTTTTTATTTATCAACTATGTGGGAATTATAATAATGGTTATTGAAGTCATAAGTGGTGTAGGAAAGCCAGATCCTAAATAGAAGTTGACTTCTTAGGCTTATGTCCGAGAGTGACAAGGAGATCATGTGAAGAGGAAATGAAAGCGTGTGGGTAGTCGTCGATTTAATTGAATATGATAGCAGAGAACAGAATGCAATATAAACAGGCAGCTGAGACCGCATGTTCCACTTGGAATGCAAGACATGCGTAGGAAGGAAAAGAAGTCATTCCTGGAATTACCCCTTACCATCTGTGGCGGTTTTCTTTTCTTTTTTCCCTCTTTTTAAAATGAATTTCCAATTCATTTAGCGCTTCAGGTTACGTGTAACTATACATTTGACAACTAGGCACATTTTATCATGTATTTGTCATAGATAGCCATATCAATCGACTATGTAGAATTCGTTAACTAGAGTATGATTTATGCTAATTGTAGGTTGATTTGTAAGACTGACAAAATAACCTCTCTTTCTCCTTAACAACTTTTATGGATTGATAGATTGGATCTCAACTATCCAGTAGTGGCCTTCTGATACCACTCAGTTGCCCAGACTGAATTAGATATTGACAGCATTTGAATCTAGAACAAAAACCTGGGAGTCGAGTGGTTAAGTCGATGAACTGATATGAAGAAGTAGTACATGTTGTGTCTTTTGGTAGCTTCGGTGCGGGCTATCTTGCTCTATGCCTGTGAAACCTGGTCTCTCCGAGCTGCGGCTATGCGTATTCGATCATCGCAGTCTCCGCAGGTTGGCTTGCATTCGATGGCATCATCGTGTGAGTAGTAATTCTGAGGTTGGGCGGCGTGTGTTTGAACACAGTGGAGATCACGATTTGTTGAGTGTCGTCATATGGATACGCCGGCTTTGACGTGTGCTGTGAATGTCATCCCAAGGGCTTCTGTACAAGTCTTTGTTCGCTAGCCTTGGGACGGGATGGAAACGGCGGAGAGGTGGTCAGTGCATGACTTGGCGTTGTGGGATGAAGGATATTTGCGCTAGGTTAGCATTGGTTGGTGCGTCACTTCTCCCTGGTTGGAGTCCGAGCTCGAATCGGTGGCTCATAACGTTATTGGATATGGCCAATAATCTTAATCAATGGCTAACGTGTTGTAATTTCCTTGTTTCTCCCCTTCCTGATGGCACTTGACGAATACTGTTTGAACTTGTTAAGTGTGAAAGTTTTCCTTCCAGATGAAGTTCTTTTTTCGTTCTCTACTTATATTTTTTTTTACTTTCATCTTTGTTGTTTTATTATTATTATTATTATCGTGTGGCACATCTTCTTGATGCCATATTGTATCCAGTTTTTTTGCGTTTAAATAAATAAATAAAATATCGATGAATGATTATTAATTAATGCTTAACTTCCACTCTTCTTCTTCTTGTAATTTTCTTCTATTTAAGGATGCTCGTGCAACATTAGGTAAATTTGGTTTAGAAGCGCATGCACATACAATTCCAATGCAGATTTATCTGGTGGTCAACGTGCTCGTGTTGCTTTTGCTGAGTTATCACGTCGTGCACCAGATGTTTTAATATTGGATGAACCGACAAATAACTTGGATATTGAATCGATTGACGCTTTAGCTGATGCTATCAATGAATTTGAAGGAGGTAAGTCAGTGCCTTGTACTCTTGTACATAATTTCTTTTTTATTACAGCTTGATTCCACACGGTATTCTTGGAACAAGTATGCAATTCTCAGCATGTGATATCGGTAGCCCAAATTTCGCAGACCGACCATAGATATCAGGTATGCGTCGGCGTGGGCAGGGGATCGAATCCCGGACCATGTGCATGGTCTGCGACGCACATTAGTTGGGTTATTAGTTATTAGTTGAGTTTCACTAGGAGTGTGTTATCTTTCAGCTTGATATTAATAATAATAATGGCTTTATTCCAAAACAGTACTCATGATACAGTGTGGGATTCTCAACATAAAGTACAACAATGCATCTAGCTTTCTCTTCATATTACATAGTTTGAGGAAAATAATTAACTGGACACTTGCATTTATAATAATGTCAATAAAAATACAAATGTAAAATTAAAAAGTAATAGGTATAGTGACAACAATATATTAACGACAAGAAGAACTAAAGTTTCAAGTTCGATCACGGATTGGCATCAGTTAGAAAACCATTGAACGCCACATTGAGTACTGGACAGCTGTTTAGTCCCAGTTTGGGAGTCACTGAAAAATCAAATCCCTACAAACTAAGCCTTGGAAATTAATCTGATACTCTCTAATGACTGGCTACAGAACAAAGTTGCCTGGAGTTCTACTGAGAAGTCGTGACTAGTGAGGTTCACCTGGTCGGGAGTACAGACAAATTCTTTTTATTCTTTTAGGTTCCCCAGTAGAATATAAGGCTTCAAGCTAGAGGCTTGAAATTTCGGTAGCAGCGGTGTTTTATTTTTACGGGATGGGGTTGCTAGCCTCATGCCCAATCTTCCCTCTTTACCAGTCTTATTCCTGCCTTAGCGGGGTAAAGGAGTGCGTGGTGGCCGGGGGACGAACCACGTGAGGTATGCTTGGCTAGCGTTCTACTATTGTGCATAGACGCACAGTGTGGACAAATACTTGCCAATAATATTAGCTGGTGGTCGCGTCAAAATCACGAATTGGTAGATCGTAGAATTCATGAGTCATTGAATCGAGTTCCAGTGGTCTACCAACTTTCTTTACTAATTGGGAGGTCCTGGGTTTTAGTGCCAGTGAATGTGTATTGCTGAACAGTCCCCAACGATAATGAAACAGCTGTCCATTACTGCATACTGGTTTTCCAATGGTTCTCTAACTGATATCAATGCGTGATCAAGTTCTGAAAAGAATAAAAGTGTCGTTGATTTGCTGTTTCAGACTATTATAATTGTTCCCTTGGGTTCCTAGTGGAACACAGGGCTTCAACTGCACGTCTACACTTGCTTCTGTCTTCTCCTGTGCTTTTCACCTCCATCCATGTTAGTTCATACTGTTTCAACTCCTCTTCACACCATCTCCTCCATGTCAAACTTGCACTGACGTCCCACTCGCCTCTTCCCTTTCGGGTTTCATTCGAGCAATGGCCTGACGCACGCGCGATGTCACCCAGTGGTCTCCTCAGCGAGTGTCCGATCCGTCTCCACTTTCTCCTGCATATTTGCTGGTTGGCGATTGGTTCTTGTTTTGTTTGTTCCAGCCATAGTTTCTTGTTGGTGATTGTTTCCGGCCCGGCCATCTGATCTTCAGTATAGGGTCAGCGAAGACAGTTGTTGATAAAGGTAACGTCTGCAACAGGCTGTTGGAAATATTCTTTGTGAGCCGCCCGCCCGCCAAGTTTCTGATCCATGTAGAAGAACTGACTTGACTGCAAGTTGACACCAATCCTCCAACAAAAGCCAAAGTCTTGAATGCAATCAAGCTTCTGAAAGCTGGAAGAGCAGCTGGACCAGATGGGATATCCCCTGAAGCACTGAAAGTGGACCCAGAGACGATAGCAGATATGCTGACTCCATTATTGCAAAAGGTCTGGAAGGAGGGAAAGATGTTTCGTACAGTACAATTCCTTCTAGCCCTACCTGATGTGGTGCAATACAATATTAATGAGTCGGCTTACCAACACCTCACTCTTTTCAATATGACAAAGTCTTTCTCAAGTAGTTTAAGGTTAGATTAAGGAAAGTACATCACAATGATACAACTAAAATGATTATAAATCATTGATTGACTTGCAGCTTTAATCATACAAAATTAGTCAGAATTGAGTTCTACGCATTTTTACATAATGAATAATGTCTGTGTTTCTGTATTTTCTACTTTTAGGTGTTATTGTTGTCAGCCATGATGAACGTCTTATACGTGATACAAATTGTATTCTATGGGTGATTGAAGATCTTGGTATCAATGAAATCGATGGAGACTTTGATGATTATCGTCGTGAAATTTTAGACTCTCTTGGTGAAGAGATATTGAATCCAAGCAAAGTAGCTGCCGATGCTGGATGTCTGTCATGAAAGAGACAGAGAAGCGATAACACACCCTTTGCAGACAATTCTTCTCAAGATACTATAGGATATATTGTTTGTCTCAATTTCTTCAAAACTCTGCTCTTGACCATCATTATCGTCATCGTCGTCTACGTGTGGATGTCATTTTGTGCATATTTGTACAGTCTCCCTTGTGTTTAGTTTCATTCAGGATCTCTATTTCTGTGGTGGTGTACTTTTGTTATTTATTAAATAATGAATACTGTTCATCTGACTGATTGCTTTACAGATAGATAATTAACCTTTAGCCTTGTGTGTAGAAATCTTCAATTATTCTGCTATTACTTATACTATTACTGTATGGCTAGGGTTTTCTTAAAATTCTTAACTTATTTCTTAATCAGATTTTGATATTTTTCGCTCCTTTCATTTTTTTTATTGTATAACCCTGTATTTTGTTCAACGTGTCCTTGCTTGTGATTATCAGATAAACAACAATGACTGTTTGGTTGGTCAGACAGAAAATACATATTTAGTATTTCTTTTTCTCTCAAGGGTTGCTCTGTAGGAATTCGACTTTTCTCAACCTCCACCATGGATTGATATCACTTAGGAAACCATTGAAAATCATGTAGTACTGGACAGTTGTTTCATCCCAATTTGGGACTCATTATCAGTACGCAAACCCTGGGATTTAAACCTAGGACCTTCCATTTACAAGGCTCATGAATTCTAGGTTCTGCCAGTGCTATCGACGAATATTTGTCCTTACTCCCGACCAGATGAACCTCAATGGACAGCATTCCTCACTAGGACACCAGACAACTTCCTCCTGTAGTCAGTCACTAATGAGAATCAGATTAATTTGAAAGAGTTCACTTACAGGGGTTTTGATTCATTTGAATTTGGATGACTAGTTTACCTTGTAACCCAGGAGGTCCTGGGTCCGAACCCCAGTGTGTGTGCGTACTCCCGATGAATGCCAAACTAGGATGAGGTGAGGTAGCTATCCAATAAACCTTGGTATTTTATTTTTCTTAATTCCGTATTTTTTAAGCTGGACCAGCCTGACTGACTGAGTTTCAATGTAGAACTTGGCACAGAAGTGACACAGTTCAAGTTGCCACACTCCATGAAGCACAGAAAAGAAAACAAAAGCAGGTCCGAGAGATATATAAAGGGTACGGCAGTAAGGATGACGATAAAAAGAAAACATGTGAACTTAATGTATGCTGAAGGTTACAAAAAGCAAATGCATCTGATTCATTGAGAAGGATTTTGAGCCGTATCACTAAAAGTCTCAAGCGTTTGGCTCTCGGGATACTGGAAACCCCAACTAGGCGATCTACACCTCCCTATGTGGCTGACTCTAACCAGGTTTTGATCTGACCACACCTCTAACTCCTTTCCAGCCTGATTCTGTTTCATTTAACATGACTAGTTGAGGAAGTCGATGACTTTGAGTCTGTGATACTTGTCCTATCCATTTCAATCAATGTAGCTTCACGAATTCGTAAACTGACTTCCCTTCCGTGTCTGACACTACGCCTAACCTCAATATTACTCACCATATTACGTCATTTAACATAGGAAATAGAATGCAACCACTTGTGATCAAAGACAGCTAGACTTTTCATATCTTCTGCTTTTAATGACAATATCCCACAGACGGAGCGAACCGTTGCGCTGTACATGCGTCCTTTGATTGACAACGGGATATGACGTGGTTATATTGCTGCTGCTGAGTGGTTAATAGTAGTTTTCCCCGTCGCCAAATTGTTATGTACTCGTCGCTAAATTATTATTATGGACTGGTCGAGAAACTAATAGTCCTGACACAAGAAGGCGGAAATCAGAAGACCACTAGGTTTGCGATGATACTTCTATTTTCCAAACACAAGGAGAATGCAATAAGTGTAAGTCACAATATTGTGAGAACGAAATATATATATGACCGTCCAGACAAGGTTGTGAACAATCATTAGACAGTCTTAACATGAATGGCTAATGATAATGAAGTATCGATCCATATATACATAGCGAAATATAGAAGACATGTCAAAAACCACCATATATGGATATATGTCACCAAGCAACGGACTGTCAACAAACACTCATATTATATATAATATAAGGGGAATATACATTGTTAAAGGAGACAGGTTCATACAAGTGAAATGGTCACAGACTAAGCGAGCAAACAGAAAGAGAGACCAACATACACACGCATATATATATATATATATATATAAATGGATACATATCAGACGTCTATCTCAAATATGACATAAACTGTAAAATGCTACACCAAACTTTCCATTTGTGCTGAGATTTCATATGGTGAATGAACCGTAATTCATATTTCTTCTCTGTATTGCATTCCTCTGGTTCGATTTACGCTTTATCACTGTACTCCTAAATATATCATTACCGAAATTTTGTAGTCAGTTGGGTGAAAAGAATTCATCTCTTTTAACCTGAAAGTGGATTAAAGAAGTGGGCAATTAAACTTTTTTTTTCATTTGTTAATCGATACTTCGTGTTCTTGAAGTGAGTGTCTGTCTGTAAACTGTTATTGGTGCGTCTCTGGTTCAAAGGTAGCATACCAAGTACATGGGCCGTGTTCACTCTAAGCCAACTCAGTCATCAACCTCGCCTAATTTATAGCGGATACTAAGACTTGAGAAAAGCGAAGGTTGGGTGTGTGTGTGTGTGGCTAGTAACTTCTTCACTTCGTAAAAATGATATCAATACTTTTGAAAGCTTGTAGCCCTATGTCCTAATCCAAATAGGGGAAGTGAAATAATGTGAATTGGTCGTCAGTAAATAACTACAACTACGCTGTATTCTAAGAATTTGTTATTGAATGATTCTTATTAAGTAGTGTTGTTGAATGCAAACACATAAATTACTCTGGCTAAATTATAACTAGGCATAGGTGTGTAGTTCTAAATGATAATCTAAACTTGTTTGTTAAGTCCAGTAACATTTACCATTAAGTGTTAGTTATGAATGTTGATGGGTCTTAATAAGTACGAAAGTTTGAGTATTCAGGGCTTCTGTCGATTAACTTTCAATGTCTAGTACTAAATTAAGTGATTGAATGTGGCTCAGTATTTGATTGTCTCTTCAATTAGTTGGCTGTATAGCTAACCCTATTCATAAATTCGAAAAATACAAACGATATCATCTTGAAGATATGATATAAAATACTTTCTTGTTTGTACATTATCATGGTTACTATTTAGCTTTAGACAGTGGAGATTTGTCTTAAACACTTGACTTCTAGCCAGTGGTTCCAGAGTTCATATATTACTTCATCTAATTCAATCTGAGCAACTAACTAGTTAGTATCGTCGATGTTTATACAATAAGTTTGACTCATTATAACCATGTGCAGAGGAGATCTGTTCCAGGTAATTGAGTTCTACAAGTTATGGGCAGACTCAAACAGCTTAGAACTGGTTTATCTTTAGTCAAAAAGCTTTAGAATACGTTGAAAGTCCTGTATTTCTTGTTTGATTTCATTGGTCGCTTTTGGCGTCTCGGTACGGTGAAATTTCAGAAAAATCAGTAGGCAGTGTCTGACACCTGTTGGACAAAAGTTGACCTTCATAACTCCAGTGTCCTAGTGAATAGCGCTTTATCATTTGAAGAGAAGGGTGTTTAATTTCGAATCTCATTTAGGGTACGATCACTCGTTAGGGAAGTTGGTACATCCAGCTGACGAATCCTAAATAAGATGAAACATGAATCTTAGATTCCACGCCTCGCCAACAAACAAATCAAAAATAACACCTAGAATGTTTATTACAGTCGTATCAATAATATTCTCAAATTTTCAGCTTGTGACTACATCGATGCATTAAGTTCTTCAGATTAAACTTGATCTTCTCACTTAAGTGTACAGTTATATGTGAAATCAAAACGGCTTTCAAGTATATACTCCAAAGTATTAGTTACTGTCTATTTAAAATTGATTTTATTTCCTAATATGAAGCCCCACAATGTGTGAACAAATGAATATTGAGTGAATAATTTGGCATATATATTCAAAAATTCATTCAACCAGGTAGGTGAGTAAAATCAATGAGAACATTTCAAGTCTCTAATAAGCAATAATGGTGTGGAATACTTACAGTTTAGGTTATAAATTTCCTGGTCACTAGATGGAAACAACCCCTCGGTCAGAATAGCAATGTTAATACTACTACTACTACACTATTCGGATCTTTTGTTACATCTAATACCAATATACTTCAGCCGATGAGCACCAAGTGGGACAAAACGTGCTTCTCCGCTTCGCCTGCTAGCCGCTATCTATAGAAGAAACATAAAACTATTTGATTTCCATAGTCATGCCTCACAGAAACAGCAGATAACTTATTTCATTCACCACTGGATTAGGAAAACAATACGATGTATCTTCATATAAATGACTATAAGTAGTATAACGACAGAAGACAAGGGCCAGGCAACAGATCGTTTATTGAGGAAATCAACGGATATTTATAGATTTTTATGTACATTGTTAATCGTTATTACTAGCGCAGAAACAGCGTCTTCTGATTGGTTGTTTTCTCTCTGAGGTTGTTCTATCATTTCTTTGTGGCCGTTTCTTTGAAGGTTAGACCATATATTTGCGAATCGTATCCGCCCACGCTAAGTCTGCTGTGATTGGTTGTTGAGTTCCTCAAGGTTAGGCTTTGTTCTTGTTTTTTTCTCATGGCCAAAATATGGACGTAAACATTGACGTAAATTGCTGTCTGCCAATTTTGGCTAGCAGACAGCTCTCACCATAGTAGTGTGTTCTAAGGTGGCACAACACTATAGCTCCATATATAATATTGATTATCTTAGTGGAACTGTTTTTTTTCCGATAAATCTACATACCATCTGGAAACTAGGATATCTGTGATAAAAATCCCGACGATCCATCTTTCTATCTCCACTTAAGCAAAAGACTAGACGTAAAAATACGTATAACGTGAGATATTTAAATAGCTCACTTAAAAGTAGATTATTTG